CCTCCTTTTCTTCCTCCTCCTCCTCCTTTTCTTCCACCTCCTCCTCCTCCTCCTCCTCCTCCTCCTCATTGTCCTCCTCCTCATCCGCCTCCTCCTGCTCCTCCTCCTCCTCCTCCTCCTCCTCCTCCTCCTCCTCCTCCTCCTCCTCCGGGTTGCCCAACCCGCCCTGGAGGACCGCTCTACCACCAACCAGGATTAGGTGCCTCGCCCCGGGTGCCTTGCACCCCTGCCTCTCTTTTCGGCCGGCGGCCTCGTTGTGGCAACGCGGGCGCCCGAGGGTCTGGCATCCTCACACCGCGTCCCTGCGACTGGCCCCGACTGCACGCCTGTACGCCGTGTGCATCCCGCGCCTGCTCCTACGCGCCAGGGCCCACTGCGACCCGACCGCTCGGATCCGGTATGGATTCCGGCCAGCGCGCTTCGATTCCGGCATTCCGACGGTCCGATGCGGCCCGATGTTTGCACGACGTTCTCGTGCATCCTTTCGGGTGTTGCTAGAAGTGCCCCTGGGCCAAGGTGCCTCCAGGATTCTCCCCTGCAGGTAGCCCAAACGGCCTCCGAAGCACCTCTCACGAGGCCCAGAGGCCCCAGGGGCTTCAAAATGGAGCGAAAAGCTGTGGGAACTTTGGTCCAGGGGTACTTCTAGCAACACCCGATCCCTGGCGCAGCCGATTCGTTCCGACTCCGTCCCGGCGCGGTTCGGCGCACGCTCCCAGTCGATCCCACGTTCTCCTTTCGATGCCGACTGGCCCTGCGCAAGCAGCCGCGCCGCTCTCGATCGAGGCCCGGCAGCGCGCGCGGGGCCGCGGCCCGCGCCCCCCGCGAGGTGCCCGAGGGCGTGGAGGACACTGAGCGGGGCGTGGCGGCGCTGACGGGCGCGCTGCTCAGGCGCGGGCGCGCGAGACGACGGCGGCGACGGACGTCGACGGCGACGGCGGCGACGGTTTCTCAGAGGAGGGCGAACGGAGTGAGGCAGTGCCAGTTTGCCTTCGGGGTGGGGGGCTTCGTCGCTACGGCCGGGCGCAGCTCGGGAAGTTCGTGCGCTTCGACCCGGCAGTGGTCCGGGGACCGATTTTGAGTTACCGTTGTCTCAACTGTCTCAGCCCGCCCTGCTCCGAGTTTCGGGGGCGTCGAAGCGGGGGGGGGTTCGGGCTGTCCATGCCTCCCAAGTGGGGCCCGAACACACGGGCTCGGAGGATCGCGCCGCACCGCCGACGCGTCGGCGGTAGAACGCGATCTGGAGCCCAGTATTCTACATGCCGTCGCCGCCGCCGCCGATGCATCGCCGATGCATCGGCGATGCTGCGCGGTCCTCCGACCCCGTCTATTGAGGTCCCACGTGGGAGGCATCCAGACGAGCGGTGTGTGGGCAACATGGCCAGGGTCGTAACATCTCCCTGGTATCACGCCAGTGCTGCGTTGCGTTGTGCTGCGCACGGTGGAACAAGGCGGGCAGTGCTTCAGATGCCCGTAATTCCGTCCCTCTGTTTTCAGCTTGCCCCGAGGAACAGGACATGGCATAAACAGAAAGTTGTGGCGCTCCGCGCGGGTTTCTGGGATCTGTGCTGGAACGCACTGGCGGCGCCTCCGGCGCCGCCCCTGGCGCGCTCCGCGCGCCAGGTAGGGGTCCAGCGCAGTTCCGAGAAATCCGCGCGGGCATCCAAAAGTTCACGTTTTTGCAATTTGTTCTTCCTCTACTGCCGTCGTAGAATTACGTGTAATACAGGCCGATTTCCGGCCACGCTCGCGAATCCATTCGAGGGCACGGCTCGAGGCAGCTCAGTGGCTTCACGATTGTGTCGCCGGGCTCGTCGTCATGCTGTGGCCGCTTCCCTCTCCAGAGCAAAGGGCGGCGACGGTTCCGACGGCGACGACTATGACGGCGTCGACGGCGACGGCGGCGACGACGGTTCCCACAGCGGCGACAGCAACGGAGCTCCAGGACTGGATAACCACACAGGAGCAAAGGTATCAGTATTGAGAGAGCGCAAGTAGTTCACCCGCAAGTTGAAGAGGATTGTGTGAATGTTGAATTCAACTCGCCCCTTCAAGGGGATATGCTTGTAATCCTGGCCCTCCCCCCGTTCAGGCGGGGGAGAATCACGCCGCATCATCTCTTCTTTGGTGGCAGACTGGGTGGGATGGGGCGGGCTCCAGCGTATAGGAGGACGTATCAGTGTTAGGGTGTTCGGGGTAGGGTGTTCGGACTACGGAGAGGGGCTGAGGATCATTCCCTCCCATCCCGTCTCATTGTGCTGATTGTGTCGCCATCCGTAGACGCGTGTCATAGCCGACCTAGAAATCCAACAACAAGAATCCATCGTGTTATACGCAATCGGAGAAGGGGAGCTGCGTACATGGGAGCAGGAGGAGGATGTGGCAGGTAAGCAGGAGGATGAGCAGGAGGAAATGGAGGAGAAGGATGTGTAAGGAGGAGGACGAGGACGAACATCAGCAGCAGGAATTGGAGTAGAGGGAGCGGGAGGTGAGGGGGCGACAACGAGGAAAAAGAATTCGGATCCAGAAAAGTGGCCCGCGCTGGGGCGAGAGCGCCATTCTGAACGACGGGAACAAGGCGCCGATCCGTAAATGAAGCCCACGTCGCAGCGGGAGCACCCATTTTGAAACATTGAACACCATCGGATTGTGAAACAAAACGTCAGAACAAATAAATGATGCAATATCGCGTGCAATAAGACATTACGCGGACAGACCTGGGTGTCTTCCGGACGGAGCCAAGGGAGAGAGGAATGTCATATTCATAATGTGTAATTGGTTAGCGTGTTAGGGCCAGGGGTACGGTGCTTAGAGTTCGGATTCTAAATGGTAGGGGTTCAGGGTGCTAGGGTTGGTTGGGTCATAGTAGTTGTGTTGCGACTGTGTGTGTGTGTGTTTGTGGTGGGGTGTTTTGGACAGGCCACTAGGGTGATTGTTTTTTTCGGTTAGCATGTTTAAGATTATAGTTAGGATGATAGGGTGTTTGGGCTCGGGTGCTTCGGATTAAGGGGTGGGGTGAGGGTGTTAGGGTTGGGGTGCTAAGGCTGCGGTTCGGGTTGCACGATCAGGGTGTAAGGGATTGTGGTCAGGGCTTTCAGGGTTAAGGTTAGAGTGTCAAGGTCAGGGGGCTTAGGGTTAAGTCAGAGGGGCAAGCTTACAGCGTTCGGGTGCTAGGGTTACGGGTAGGATCCGGAGCCTTGTGTGTTAGGAGTAGGTTTATGTTGTTAGGCTTCGGGTGTGTTGGATCAGGTTCAGGGTGGTATGGCTAGATGACAGTGTGTTTAGGGTTAGGGTGTTAGGGTCAGGGTTGTCGGGTTAGGGTGTTAGGTGTTAAAGGTTAGGATGTTGGGGGTGAGCGTGTTGGGGTCAGGGTGCTCAATCGGGGGTGTTAAGGTTGAGGTGCTTGTGGATTTAGAGCGTTTGTGCTGGGGTGGTCAGGGAACGAAGGGGGCTCCGCAGCAGGGTGCAGGTGAGGGGGCTTTCATCTGGGCTCCGAATGGGAGGAGGGGGGGAGGGTCGAACTGCCCTCCCCCTTTGGACAAGGGGGGGGGGGCAGGGGGGCCGGCCCAGGATGATGGTCCAGAAGTCTGGGGGGGGGTCAGGGTCGGCGGATCGGAAAAGGCGGGCGAGGGAGAGGGAGGATTCACCCCCCCCCTCTGAGTGAACAGCGGCGCGCCCCATTCACTGGTGCACATCGCCACGGGCATTGGCACACGACGAAGCGTCTGGATGTCCGTTTTATCGGTCACACTTCGGAGACGTGCATGATCGAAGCCATAGTTGCCCGTCAGTCTTCCGTTAGGTCTCTGGATTGCGGTTCGTTTCTTCATGGTATGTTTGTTGCATGTGTTGATGTTCACATGCTTACTGTGCGTGTGCTGCTTGTGTTGCGTGTGTGTGGTGGTTGCCTTTTGCGTGTGTGTGGTGGTTGCCACATGCTGTATGATTTGTGGCATTGTGTTCACGTGGTGCACGCCTCGTGTCGTGTGTTGTGTGTGTTGTCTGTTATGATGCATGTTGTGTGTCTGTCTGCATGTTGTGTCTGTCGTTGTGTGTGCGCTTGGATGTTTTGTGCGTATGTGTGTAGTGTTTGTGTGTGCGTGTCTGTCTGTCTGTCTGTCTGCGTGCGTGCGTGCGTGCGTGCGTGTGTGTGTGTGTGTTGTGTGTGCGTGTCTGTGTGTGTGTGTGTTTCTGTACGCTCATGACTGCCCGACTCCGCTGGGTCGTCACGCGCACGGCCGTGACGCCCAAAAATCGTGTGTGTGTGTGCTTTTGCGTGTAGGAGTGCATATGTGTCTCGACATCGCTTGGACGTGTGTGTTTTTTTCTCTGCGAGGCCAGCGCCAGAAAGTCTGAGTACAGTCAGCGCGTGTAGTAAGGATGCGCGATGAGGATGCCAGGGCCTTGGAAGGCCATTTCGGAGCTTCTCGGGCGGGGCGCGGCCAACAAAAGTGGCCCAGGATGGACCGAGGAGGCAAGCATGCAAGGGTACCCTTGGGAAGGTTGCCCGTCCTTGCCATGCGGTTGGACTGTATCCTGGCTCATCTTGGTCCGCCTTGAGCTTTCTTGCTGCAGCCTGCGATGGAGTTCCCCTCCGGTCGAGTTCATGAGGGCTTCTCAGAAGCCCTCGCGGCTTCTGAGAAGTTCCCCAACCAGCGCTTGCACCCGGGAGTTCTTAATCCTCTTTCAAGGAACGGGGCTCGTGTGCCGTCCCGACAGGCTTACATACGGACGCCCCGTCGCCGCCCCGTCGCTGCCTCGTCGCGGGCTCGTGTGCCTCCCCTGCTGGCTTGTGGTCGCCCCGTCGCCGTCCTTGTCGCCGCTCGTCGCCGCCCGTCGCCGCCCTGTCGCCTCTCAGTCACACACACACGCAATTAATTGTCGATTCCGCAGAAAATATAGGAAAATATGGGAAGGGGGGGGAAGACAAAAGCCGAGGAAATATCGGGAAATATGGGGGATCCTGTTATTTGTGTGTATTTATGTGTGTGTCCCAGGGCCCCTTCACACACAGATTTCACTGAATAGCTTACACCACTTCGATTGCACTACATAGCTTGCGCCACATGCCCGTCGCCGCGTCGGCGTGGGCTCGCGTGCCGCCCAGGCCGGCCCGTGGTCGCCCCGTCGCCGCCCCGTCGCCGTTCGTCGCCGCCTCGCCGCCGCTCGTACCAACACCGCATGTACTCCACTGCCTAGCTTGCACGACTTAGACTGCACGATCTAGCTTACACAACACAGCTCGCAACACATGGAGTGCACTATACACATACATATATATATATACATACATATTTATATATATATATATATAGATTGCACTACGCGCTATGGACCGGACAACATAGATCGCACCACCTAGCTTACACCACGTTGCTCACACCACCTGGATCAGCACGTTGGTTACACATAGTTTGCACCACATAGCTCCCACCAAATAGCTCACACCACGTATATTGCACCGTGCATATTTCACTGTATCTTTTGCACCACCCGGAGAGCACCACATTGCCTACACCACATAGATTGCACCACATGAATTATACACACCCCATAGATCGCACCATGTGGATTGTACCACATAGCTTACACAACATAGCGTTCACCGCATAGCTTGCACCACACAGCTTGCACCACGTAGACCGCATCACCTGGTATGCTAAAAACCATCGTGTGTGGTCCTCGCTGGCTAATAGTTTCCATGTCTTCGGGGAACCGAGACAACTTCTCGGAAGGCCCGAGGACTTCCGAGTTCTCGGAGAAGGCCCGCCCCCTCTCATTTTCCCTGGGGCCGACCGCCGCCAACGCAGCGTTCGCCTTCTCGGAGATCCGCGCACGGCGTCCCCCGTGCGCCAACGACTCGCCTGTGGGCCCCTCGCAGGGCCCACTTC